TACTATTATTGGTACCAATTAATTTCTTTATTCCTATTCTAGTAAAGACGGTCTCAGCTTCTTCTCAGGGTGGTTTCAAATCTACTATATATACTATATATACGATCCTCCTGCCTCAGCCTCCCGAGTAGCTGGACCTACAGGCATGCGCCACCATGCCCGGCTAATATACATATATATATATATACATTTAGTTGGCCTATTAATTTCTTTCTATTTATAGTAGAGATGGGGTCTCGCTCTTGCTCAGGCTGGTCTTGAACTCCTGAGCTCAAATGGTCTGCCCGCCTCGGCCTCCCAGAGTGCTAGGATTACAGGCGTGAGCCACCGTGCCTGGCCTTACAATGTCTTTTAAATAATTTCAGTTCAACCCTGAATTTACTAATTCATTCATTCAACAAATATTTGTGGAGTTTCAAATATGCATTAGGTACTACGCTAGATCCAAGGATATGCCCTCATACAGTTAACAGTCCTGATAGAAATAACAGTAGGAAAAGTCCAGCATAAAAACACGACATTTTTACCCTTCACTCTGCACATCTATGGCTACTGCTATCAAGAGTATAGAGGAGGCCAGGCGTGGTGGCTCTCGCCTGTAATCCTAGCTCTCTGGGAGGCCGAGGCGGGAGGATCGCTCAAGGTCAGGAGTTCGAAACCAGCCTGAGCAAGAGCAAGACCCGTCTCTACTATAAATAGAAAGAAGAAATTAATTGGCCAACTAATATATATAGAAAAAATTAGCCGGGCATGGTGGCGCATGCCTGTAGTCCCAGCTACTCAGGAGGCTGAGGCAGGAGGATTGTTTGAACCCAGGAGTTTGAGGTTGCTGTGAGCTAGGCTGATGCCACGGCACTCACTCTAGCCCGGGCAACAAAGCGAGACTCTGTCTCAAAAAAAAAAAAGACAGGATCAGGAGCAATGACCAATTTTCACCAATTTCATCTCAACACCAGCATATATGAAGAGGGTGATTTCTCCTCTGAGTTACTGAAAAATGATAGTTGATTTGGGTGACTCTTATGAATAGAGATTGCCTTCACTCTTCATGTAAAATTCATCCCAGGGCTCAAATAACGAACATTATAACAGCTTCCTCATGGCCTGTAATCCCCACATTTTGATAGACTGAGGCAGGAGGATTGCTTAAGGCCAGAAGTTTGAGACTAGCCTGGGCAACTGGGCAACATAGTGAGATCCCATATCTAAAAAAAAACCAAAAAAACTTCTTTTAATTAGCCAGGTATGGCAGTGCACACCTCTAGTCCCTGCTACTCGGGAGGCTGAGGCAGAAGGATGGCTTGAGCCCAGGAGTTTGAAGTTGTGGTGAGCTATGACTGCACCATTGCACTCCAGCCTGGGTGGCACAGCAAGACCCTGTCTTTAAAAAAATAGATAAAGCAATAACAGCACGGCCAGAAGCACCAAGCAAATACATTGGATGGACTCAGTTGCAGAAAACCTACACTAGCTCTTGTAGGTCAGCAGATCCCAGAGGCAGGAAAGGGCTGCAACTTCCTGCTCAGTTCCTTTTTCAAAGCCACCAATCAAAGAAAATGCTCCTCCTTCCCCGAGAAAGAGTGAGGAAGGGAAGCAGAGGCAAGCCAGGCTTGTTATTCTACCGGAAGTTTCTCGACTTGGAATCTATAGGAGGGGGGAGTTGAACACCTCCCCCTAACCAGCTCAGTATTTTGAAGTGCTATAGTTGATTTCATTCCTTGTGATTCTGACCCGGGCTCTGGCTTTCAAAAATAAGTCAAATCACAACGTGTGTCTCACCCGATTGCTGAAATAGGGACTGAGCTCTCCTCTCCCACGGTGACGTGGACCAGTAACAGTCACTTAGGATGGTTGAGAATATCTTCTGACTAGTTGGAGCCCTGTGTAATCACCGAGTTTGAGAGTATTTCTGACTTCACGTACCACCAAACCCAGGCCCTCAGCATCAGTACTGGGATTGATGAAAGGATCTCAGAGAGATCAAGAGTCATTCTAGGCCGGACGCAGTGGCTCATGCCTGTAATCCTAGCTCTCTGGGAGGCTGAGGCGGGTGGATTGCTCGAGGTCAGGAGTTTGAAACCACCCTGAGCAAGAGCGAGACCCCGTCTCTACTAGAAATAGAAAGAAATTAATTGGCCAACTAATATATATAGAAAAAATTAGCCGGGCATAGTGGTGCCTGTCTGTAGTCCCAGCTACTTGGGAGGCTGAGGCAGGAGGATAGCTTGAGCCCAGGAGTTTGAGGTTGCAGTGAACTACAATGCGACACTGTATCTTACCCAGGATAACAGAGCAAGACTCTGTCTCAAAAAAGAAAAAAAAATGTATTTCAGATACTCTTACTAATATTACTGAAAATAAAGAGTGCATTTTCAAAAAAAAAATCGAATAGACTTCCATTTATAATGCAACCTTTTCACTTCCTTCTTATTGTTTTGATTAGTACTTGAAAGATTTATCTTAATCTCCTTTTGTTTAAATTTGGAAACTGGAATTTTGAAGAGAAGCTGATAAACTACATAGTCCAGATTTTAAAGTTTTAGCCTCATATTAACTCATCAGATAAAAAGGACCATATTTTCTCAGGAAAACATGGCCATATAATGCATTTGCAGTTACAAAATAGGTCAAAGTCATTTGTGGTGTTCATTAATCCTGCTACTTCTGTGAAAAAGGCTAAAAGCATTGCCTACATTTTGCAGATGGCAAAAAACTAACACGTTCCATCTTGCTGTGGGGATAATAGCAAAGCCTGTGGTAGAGCCAGAAATAGAACCTCAAGGGATTTGTGTTCTTTTTTTTGATGTAGAACAGAATTCAGTTCAAGCAGTTTCAATAAAATCATGCTACAAAAGAAGCAGGTCCATCTCCTCACTGAATTTTCTTTAATAGAATTAAGTAGTTCATTTCAGCTTTACTTTCAATTGGATACCTTACGCTAATTAGTCTAGCTGACCGACCAAATGTAATTTATACAGTAATCTCATAAAATACATTGGATGCTCAGCATAACGGATAATACATAATCATTTTAAGGAACTTTTTAAAAAGAAAAAGCAATATTTAAAATCCAGTATAATCAAATTTTGTAAGAGAGGGAGTTCTATTATTTGGGTTCAGGTCAACATGTAACTTCTAATATAACTGCCTTAATATAATTCTGGATTTTACAGCATTCTAAATCAAGTCCCACAAACACTTTTAAGGAAAAGCACCTTCAGAGTTACAGAAATTGAGAATTCCATGCTGCCATCCTGTGTCTACCATCTTGCCATTGCAGCTATAATTTCAATTTCCTAAATGTGTGTGTTTGTGCACACAAGTGGAACTTAAGTCACTAGCTGCTATACTGATTAGACATGCTTAGAATTCCTAATATGTTCTCCAGCCATCTATACTATTAGACTGGGAATAGGCTAGTGCTCACAAAATAGTAGCAATATGTGGATCTTCCCTTGCAAAATAAGGAATTTAATCGTGCCTACTGGATAGAGTAGTTGGAAGCAATAAATGAGATTCATCTATATAGTGCACTTAAAGGAGTGCAGAGCATATAATAAGTGTGCAATAATGGTTAACTATTATTATCTGTAAACATGCTGGCCTGAACACATGCTGGTCTCGAAAATATCAACTTTTTTTTTTTTTTTTTACTTTTTTTTTACTTTTTTTTTAATGGTTTTACAACAGCAGTAGCAAATATCAACTTTTAATTGACATGCATTTATACAGCACATTATTAAGAACATCATCTGTGGGCATTTTTTTTTTTTTTTTGAGACAGAGTCTCACTTTGTTGCCCAGGCTAGAGTGAGTGCCGTGGTGTCAGCCTAGCTCACAGCAACCTCAAACTCCTGGGCTTGAGTGATCCTTCTGCCTCAGCCTCCCGAGTAGCTGGGACTACAGGCGTGCTCCACCCTGCCCGGCTAATTTTTTTTCTATATATATTAGTTGGCCAATTAATTTATTTCTACTTATAGTAGAGACAGGGGTCTCGCTCTTGCTGAGGCTGGTTTCGAACTCCTGACCTTGAGCAATTTTCCCGCCTCGGCCTCCCAGAGTGTTAGGATTATAGGTCTGAGCCACTGCACCTGGCCCATCTGTGGGTATTTTTAACATGGTCTACAAGGTCCAGCATGGTCTGGCAGCCACCATATCATGCTTATCCTGAACGTCCCTCCATCCCCACACTTGGCTTTTGCTCAGAAGCCATAGCAGCCCCCCTACATTTCAGTGGACACCCTGAGCTCCTTCCTAGACAGCATACCCTGTACAGGCTCTTTTGTCTACCTGGAACTATATACCTCAAGCTCCACTCCTTGGCTTTACAAACTCATCTTCAATTTTCTGTTTAATCTATCCCTTCCTCAACTTCACAGTTGGGTTCCTGACACCTCCATTTTATGAGCTCCTGTTAAGTGGTAATGTTACAATTTTAAATGATTCTTGTATTAATGCCTGTTTTATCTATTATACTAAAAGTTCCACAAGGGCAAGGCCCATGTTTTGGGTTTTTTTCTCACAATTTATTTACAGGTCTACTGCAGTGCTTGGCATATGGTAGGTTGTCAACACATATTAACTCTATAAACCAATAAACAAATCCCAACGTGAGGCTATTGCTTCCAGGGATTGAGCATTTCTCCCTTTCACTTTATTTTACAGTCATTGTTCCCCTGTCCCTGGCCTTCCTCATCTATACAGTGAAAAATATACACATTTTACTATATAAAAATAGCTTGTGCATTTAATTGGGAAAAGGAGAAGAGGGAAAGAGAAGTCAATGAAGTAAGCATAGTTACAAATGGGGTGGTGCCCACAGTGTTATGAATGCAAAACAGTGTCTAAAGATGTGCATAAAGGATTTTTGTAAGTGTACTGCTTCTGTAGTTGAGAACGGGGTTATTTCAGGAGATGGCTGTGTTCACCACACTAATGTATGTAAAACAGCACATAAAGAAACACTAACAGGCCGGGTGAGGTGGCTCACGCCTGTAATCCTAGCTGGGAGGCTGAGGCGGGAGGATTGCTCGAGGTCAGGAGTTCGAAATCAGCCTGAGCAAGAGCAAGACCCCCGTCTCTGCTAAAAATAGAAAGAAATTAATTGGTCAACTAATATATATAGAAAAAATTAGCCAGGAATGGTGGCGGATGCCTGTAGTCCCAGCTACTCGGAAAGCTGAGGCAGGAGGATGGCTTGAGCCCAGGAGATTGAGGTTGCTGTGAGCTAGGCTGATGCCACGGCACTCACTCTAGCCCGGGCAACAAAGTGAGACTCTGTCTCAGAAACAAACAACAAAAAAAGAAACACTAATAAAAGATGTTTCCAGCCAGTCCGGCTGGTCATGGTCCACACCTGTAGTCCTAGCTACCCAGGAGGCTGAGGTGGGAGGATCACTTGTGCTTAGGAGTTTGAGGCTGTGGGGAGCTATGATCACACCACTCCACTTCAACCTAGTTAACACAGTGGGAAGGAAGGAAGGGAGGGAGGGAGCCATATTGCCGGTAGAGGTGGGGGACCTCTAGCTGGTGGAGCAGTGGGAAGGATAAAGCAAGCTACAAGGCCCATGAAAAGGCTGCCAGATAGGGGACCTGGAAGCTGAGTGGTTTGAAGATCACTACCCCACTGCACAACAGTCTTCCTGAGGCCACTGGGACTGTGGACCCGTGTCCTGCACCCCAGATCCATGGGCCCTTACCCATCTAGGTCTCTTCTTCCGCATTATCAAATACCGACCAAAATAGGGCACTTCTCAGGTGTGCAGGAGCCAACCAGCCATGGCTCTTGGTAAAGAGCCTTTCATCCTGTTTAGTCATTTCTGCTGTGAAGCATGTTTTCCAGAGTGACACCAGTCACGATGAGTTTTGTTCTTTGTTTCTTAGTATCAGAGGGGCCAATTGTTCACAGAAAAGATTATTTACTATTTTTGGTTTTCAGATTTGTAATAAATGCTTATATTTTTTCTCTTTAGCGCTTAACACCCTAAGACATATTTTATATTTCGTCTTGATTTTCTGTCTTACACTGTCAGTCTACGCAAGGCCTTTGTTCGGTCCATTTAAGGCTTAGAGTTTGCATGGCATACAGCAGGCACTTAATGAAGCAATGTTGAATACTAAGTGAATAAAAGGGTTGGGATTCTAGGAGGATGTGCGAGCGAATGCTGTGCAATGGTGGCGCCCAGGTGAGGAGAGGGTAACCGAGAAGGCCACCCCAGGAGCGGAACCGAGGGAAGCACGTCGGCCTGGGAGAAGCACATCCGCGAGGGCCACGGTCAGGCGGGGCAGAAGAGTCCGCTTCTCCGCTCAGGCTCCCTGAGTTTCCCGGAAAGACTCTCCTCGCAGGGTCGGTTTGTCCTCTAGCCACAGCAAGAGTGAAAGGGTCCGCGCCGTCCAAAGACTTCCGGCAACAAAGTCCGGTCCCGTCCTGCCCCTGACCCGAGAGTTTCCGGGGATTGGCTGTCCACCTTTATGACCCGCCCCCACCCAGAGTCTTCGCGGTGATTGGCTGTTCTCCCCGGGAGCCCTCCTCCTCTCCGCTCCGGCCCCATCCAGAGTCTTTACGGTGATTGGCTCACCGCCCCGGGGTCCTCCGCCTCGCCCCGCCCCGGAAGTCCTTCCAGTGCCACCTTCCTGGTGTCCGTGCCGCGTTCGGGTTGCCGGACTCTTTGTTCCGCGTGGTGGAGCGGTTAGTGTATGTCTGGCCTTTGGCCTCTGGCGAAGACGGGTCGTTGGCAGCCTGCGGGTCCTGCGTCCTCTAGACCTTTGTTCGTCCGGAGCCCCGGAACCCAGCGGTGGATCCCCCCTCGGCGGCCCGCTGTGCCAGTCCTGGGGCCTCGCCCAGCCGCCCGCTGGTTCCCCAGGGCGCATCCGCCACTTGGTAGTGGGTTTCGGGCCGGACCCCGCCTGCTATCCTCAATCCTCTGGGGCAAGTGAAACATAAAAATGTAAACATAAAATGAGCTCTAGGAAAAATCTGGCAATACCTGTTTTTGACAATTCTACCAGGTATTTTGCAACCAGGTATTTTGCTCTTACAGCTTAACTTTAGGCACATGGGAAATGGAGATGTGCAGATGTCAAGATAACTAATGACAAAGGTCACAATGGACCCTGGACTCCGACCTGATGGGTCACGGCTTCCAATCTGACCTTGAACCCTGATCTCTTTATTTTGTGTGGCAATAGGTATACAAAAGGTTCCCACCTAAATGGTCAGGGTAATGTGTACGCACTTGGGTATCCGCCACCTTCCCTCACCGGATCTCCCACCTTCAGCGCTAGCCAAATTACAAACCTGGTATCCTTCATACATAAAGTAACGCTGCACAGATGCAGCCAACAAGACATCATGGACAACCCACCCATGTATCGCAACACCAAGGTCAATTTGACAACAGGGACCCCTTTTCCAAGTTTGGGAACTTATGATCTAGAAAAAGCAAGTCTGAGCATTTCCAAAGTAATGGAACAAGGGTTCAGTGCCACTATGCAGACCTTGGAAACATGCCAATCAAAAGTTAGCAATTTAGCCTCTGTACCCTAAAATCATCATGTCCTGTATATATCAACCACCTGACAAGGAAGAGCTTGTACAATTGTTGGCAGATAATACTGCTTCTACGTATATAAGATAGGCAAAATCATGTCTAGTCTACAGCATATAAAAACCCCAGCTCATTCCACATCAAATAAATGAGGCACAATCGTTGCATTCACCTATTTCCAGGAGTGGGAGATTGGTTCGACAGAACATGGGGCTATAAGTTCATATTCTTTCTTTTCTGCTTATTCACTCTTGTTCTAAGCTGTGTTCTTGCGGTTCACAGATCTCTTAACTCCCAACTGCTAATCTGAGTCTTCTTCGCACAGCATTCAATACAGCTGTTTGTCAATGAAAGTTTCAGATGGGGCAATGAAGGGACTAACAGCCCATTAGAATGGCACAAAGATTACTTTAATCTGAGAACATCTGAATAAACAACAGCTGCAGAAAAAAAAGCCTTAGCTTAACTTCCTTTTGATGAGTAAAGCAGGCCTTTCTGAGAATTCAGGAGCCTCTTGTAAGGGAGGAGACTAATTTAGCATTGGGAACTCCAAAGGTATTGAATTGCATAAATAAGCCACATTGGAACCTTTCATACTTTTTCTGAAGCCTTAAAACACACATACAGTGGCTCACGCCTGTAATCCTAGCACTCCAGGAGGCCGAGGCAGGAGGATTGCTGGAGGTCAGGAGTTCGAAACCAGCCTGAGCAAGAGTGAGACCCCCATCTCTACTATAAATACAAAGAAATTAATTGGCCAACTGATATATATATAAAAAATTAGCCGGGCATCGTGGCACATGCCTGTAGTCCCAGCTACTCGGGAGGCTGAGGCAGTAAGATCGCTTGAGCCCAGGAGTTGGAGGTTGCTGTGAGGCAGGCTGACGCCACGGCACTCACTCTAGCCTGGACAACAAAAGCGAGACTCTGTCTCAAAAAAAAATGGAAAGAAATTAATTGGCCAACTAAAAATATATAGAGAAAAAATTAGCCGGGCATGGTGGCGCATGCCTATAGTTCCAGCTACTCGGGAGGCTGAGGCAGAAGGACACTTGAGCCCAGGGGATTGAGGTTGCTGTGAGCTAGGCTGACACCACGGCACTCACTCTAGTCTGGCCAACAAAGTGAGACTCTGCAAAAAAATTAAATAAGTAAATAAAATACAATCTAAAGTCATATCCAAGTATTGAAAAAACGTGTTTTAATTTTAATTCCAGCATCTGCATTGTACAATCACAATTTGTGAAAACCTTTTCAAACCTTGATGAGAAATAAATATGTGTTCAAAGGTTACAAAGTGGTATTTTTCAATGTGTGTTTGTTTTAAGCTGATTACGCTAGGTAGCATTGGAAGGATGAATTTGGGGAGCAATACTTACATATTCCTAGCAACCCAACCACAGATATTGTATTAGACAGGCTGGAGACAACATTCTCTTGTGATGTATTTGGACATAAACTATTTTGGTATCTTGCATTCGAGTCTCCCTATTAATCAACATCAATAGAAAAACCATAATTCCAAAGTAGCTCATTCTAAATATATAGCCAAGACAGGTGGCAATTTACATGGTATTAGGATGTATTTTTTTTTTTTAATCTTAGGTTCTTTTTAGGGGATAGTGCTGCTTGCATATAATTAAAGTATTTCAAGTTTCATTTTCCTATTCATTTGACAAGTGAGAAAATGCTGATTTATTTTCTACCCTTTTGTAGGTGGGAAGATAGAAGGCATTCAAGCTGAGATGGTGCGGTGTTGAAACTTTCCTCAAAGGTTCTTCTCCAAAGATCAATCATTTGTATTCTTCTGTAGAAATTTTTCCTAGTTTTTCATTGTGTGGCTTGTGAAATTAGAGGAGTCGCTATTGCTGGAATAGAGTATAACATATTTCAGCTGACCGCAACACTGCTTTTAAGGTTGCCGGGTGCCTTTGTTCGTGGATGTAAATAGAGTTACTCTTTTTTCCACCATAAAAATGAGTGACCATTATTTAAAGCAAAGAATTCCTATTAAATATTGTGTAAAGTTAAATAAATCTGCAGGTGAGACACTTGAAATGTTAAAAGTAGTTTCTTTTTTTTCTTTTTGAGACAGAGTCTCACTTTGTTGCCTAGAGTGAGTGCCGTGGCATCAGCCTCGCTCACAGCAACCTCCAACTCCTGGGCTCAAACGATCCTCCTGCCTCAGCCTCCCCAGTAGCTGGGACTACAGGCATGCGCCACCATGCCCAGCTGATTTTTTTTAAATATATATATTAGTTGGCCAATTAATTTCTTTCTATTTATAGTAGAGACGGGGTCTCGCTCTTGCTCAGGCTGGTCTCGAACTCCTGACCTCGAGCAATCTGCCCACCTCGGCCTCCCAGAGTGCTAGGATTACAGGCGTGAGCCACCGCACCCGGCCTAAAAGTAGTTTCTGATGAGGAAGTAATGTCAAGAGCAAGAGACGTTGTCAGGCACAAAAGGTTTGAAAGTCAGGATGCTCTTCATCAGGATGATATCCGTTAAAAATCCACACTGTGGTCCTCCAGTTACCCACAGAACTCATGAAAACATTGAGAGGGCCAGAAATTTGCTTTGCTCCAATAGCCAATTAATTATGAGAAAAACAGTGGAAAAGTTAAATTTGGACTAAGAAGCAGACTCATTCTGAAAGTAACCTTGCAAAGGAGGAAAGTTGCTGGGAAGAATATATCTTATGCTATCGTGGTTGACGATCCTTCAGAAGCCAAACCAAAATAGAGCTACACAGGGCCCTGCAACTTGGATGTATATTCAGGGCACAATTCTGTTTTGTTTCATGGGTCTGGGAGAAATTTCAGGCTGCAACAAGCTGAATGTCTTCAACCACTTTTCATTGGCTTTGTGGGGAAATGATTTAAGCAGCATGAAACCTGTAGAGCTAGGTTATTAAGAGGAGCAAAATGTTACCTTAGAGTGAAGAACAAAACGTGGGAACGTTTCTACCTTATTGCTTTGAAGTGAGCTCATTTCAGTAGTCAAGTTACCTGCAGGCTGAGTAATTAAATCTTCAACAGGGAGCTAGAGATTGTTATTTTGTATGGAGACATCTCAAAAAGAATAAGATTGGCCATGGTTAGGCAGAAATATTTAGACTCGTAATAATGAAACTCCTCTTGGGAGTGGGAGATAGAGCTCAGATGTTGGAAACAAGTATTCACTTGTTAGTAAGAAATAGAAGAGGCAACGAGGAGTGGTGGGTAGTTTAAGTAAAAAT